ACATCCTATTAACATTGGTACTTGGATAGAATTCATAATCTTGTAGAAAGAAAACTATAATGTATAGTATAAAAGTAAAATAATCTCAAATAGTCTATATCATATAATAAATGTTGAGTTGTGTGAGTGTCTAAACATTAAATGCATATCTATTACAGTAACAAATACTGTCCCTCTTTTAACCTTCCATTAGACTTTATTATATAACTAACTGCATATATATCAAGTGTTTAAAATTGATAACTTCAGGATGTTATCCTTTCTCTGTTTTAACCCTTTCACTGCCATAGGAATACGCCTGTTATTTTCGGCGTATTTGCCATATGGACGGCTTTAGCCGTTTCTATAATAATAATAGTAATAATAATAAATTAATAATAATAATAATAAAAATAATAATAAATATAAAGAAAATTATACCATCGACAATAATTATTATTACATTGTATTATACTCACAGATTTTGAAACATATATAATTATTATAATACTAGTAACAAATAATAATAATTATATTAATTAATAATATAGTAATTTCTTAGAAAACACTTCGGCAAATAGGTGATCAATAAAACAATAACCCTCTGGCAGCGAAAGGGTTAATATATGGACATGAGCACCTATATGCTATATGCATAGCTTTAATTTTCTACCTTTCATTTTTACCAAAGGTTATTTTATTAACAATTTACATACAAACACATAAAAAAAAATATAATTAGTTTCACATAGTGATTAGAAGATTCCTGTAGCAGAATACCTAGTAGGTATGTGCTAACTGAACAAACTAGAAAAATCCAGTTCTAAGGTATATTAAAGCCAGTCAAAAAATCTATCAATATTCACTCCTCAGGGCCTCTATGCTTTTGATGACCTTACCAATTGGTAAAAATTTTATACAACAAAAATAGTAAGTAATACCTAAGACGGGACAGAAAAGAGCAAGTAATTAAGAAAACATGAGTTACTTCCCCTTAAAATAGAGAAAACCTTCAAACCCAAAGAACACCCTAAACAGCAAAATTATGAAATGTTGCAGGCTCAGTTTAATAAAGCCATGCGAAGTAATGGGTAAAATATTCATGAAAAAGTTAGATGGCCATGTGACAAGCAGTAATTGCAAAAATCGGATATTTCAACATCCGGATACTGTTACACTTTTTGTTAAAAACAATCATTCTGTGCAATAGATAAACGTAATATGAATAAAATCAATAGGATAATCGTCTGTAGGAAAATTTTGAAAATATATAAATGAATGCATCAATGTAGACCACAACGATATTCGAAATCCGGGTTTTAGTACTGCCAATAAAGCTAAGGGACAAGCTGTTAAACTGAGCCTGCAATTTCGTGAAAATAATATCAAAGTGCACATGCTTTTTACATAAAGTTATTAAATACAATTCTAACACTATCGGAAATTTTTCTTTATAAACAAAGAAGGCCCAAAATGTGCATTATTATGCAACAATGCACTTGTCGTTCTTATTATCTCCCTGTGTATTTTCACATTGATGGTGCCATTTTGTTTGTAAAATCTGATAAATAAACACAACTCGTTTGCGACATTAAAATAGCGTACTTGATTTGATTTGATCTGTCTATGTAAATAAGAAACATGGTGTCGAAATACTGGAACAATATCATATTGACTTTTAATGTGTACCCGTCCTGTCAAAACGTAAAAAAGTATCAAACGATTACTACAAGTACGAACATAATGGAATTTTTGTCAGCTGTTCAGATCTAAACAGACATTCATCTAGATAGTTTTTTTTCGGTTCTTCTCAAAATATGCAATGCACAGCTGACCGTTCCTTCGCAGCCATTTTACGCGTGCGTAAAACCTCACCTGTTTACCTGTATCCATTCTCCACAGAGTATTAGCCAAATATGTGATTTGAGCCAGATGTAGGTCACTGTAGCAGTCAACAGGCACCTTAATGTACAGTTTTATGAGAACAGGGGAAAGGAGGTAGTTCTGATTTAAGGGGCTGTTGATGCCGAGCAGGGGGGCTCCCTAAAAAGCCCGTTACTTAAAAAAAGAAAATCTAAAAAAAATAAAAATTTTTCATAGATTATGCAGGTATATTTTCCAAATTTTGGGGAATAAAAAAAAAAAAATTTTTGGGGAAAAACTTTTTTTATTGTTTGGTTTTTTAAATCTCTGATGGGGCCGGGTATTTTTTTGAAAAAACCAAATTTTAATCGGTAAGAAAAATTTTTTATTGTTTTCCAAAATTAAAGCTTTCTGAGAATCATTTTTTTTGTGAAAATTAGTATTTTTTTCCCTGATCGTTTCACTTCGTCCAGGAAATTTTTGCTTTTTTTTTTACGTTTCTGCTTTTCTTTTCAAAAATAAAAAAACATTTTTTAATTAGTTTTTTTCCCAAACCAAATTTTTGAAAAAATTTTTAAAAATAAAAATACAATTTTTTATAAATTTCCCCATTTCTAAATTTATTCATCAGTGTTATTTGTTTTTGTTTTTCATAAAAAACGGTTACACGATAACAAAAATAAAACATATTCATTAACGGAAAAGGTTTTGTTTTTCGCAATTTTTTCAATGAATAACATCCCTATTAACTTAACAAAAAACCTTGTTAAGATACGTTCGTAACGCGTTCATTCCTTGCAAATCTTACATTGATAATCAGTTTGCTAACTAACTCACTTAATGTACGAACATAATTATGTGATCACGAGTACCGGAATTTAGTTGTAATGTACAAGTAATATTCCTTATTTGTAAACATTTAGGTTTTCATTGACCGCTGAACAGTAACCTTATTTTTTGCTCAAAAATTTCTATCTGTGGCTTATTCTCTGTTGGAATGGCATTAAGGTAAATTATCATCAATTTGCGCTTCAACAATAACTCTTTAAGAGCTTGACTGGTGACATGCCCAGGCCAGGCCCGTACTTGACAACAATAGCTGTTTTTGTGCCTTCAGGGACGGATGGACTCTCTTTAAATATAGACTACATACATACATATTTATATTACACATTGTATATAAAAGTTTAACAAAATGCCATTAAGAGTGTATCTCATGCTGTTAGACATTTTGGTCCCAGTGTGCCAGCCAATTTATATCTAAATTCTTGATTGCCCTGATAAAGTTGAGTTATATTTTGTAACATACACTTATTCATGTTTCTGAGAAACAAATAATGCCTACATCATACAACATTTATTAGTTATAACCTACCATAACTTAACAAGAGCACGGCAAGTCGGGACAATATACGCCCAATTGTGAAGTCTTTGGGTAATCGAAAATAATCTTTTAATAAGGATAGAGGCAAATCAGGAAAATTGTCTGAAGAATGTTTTATCTTAAATATCCTTATAATGACCTCAAAGGTGCATTACCCATAAAACTTTTCTAGACGTCTACTAGGTAATGCTATATGCCAAATATAGAGGCATATAATTTCCCCACAAAAAGATGTGTTTTCTTATACATTAGTCTGCATAAAGCAAGCGACTTCCGTGGCACGACCAGTTCTGACCCGAGGATCGTGATTTATATATTTTTTGGGGAAATCTACAAATTGATCTTACATGCAAAGCTGTGGGCTTTGTAGTTTCACACAATTAAAATTAAAATTATTTTCCTATATATGTTTATGTGAAACAATCAACCCAGCCCCATCAGGGGCATGATTTATATCAGTTTTGCTACAAGCTAAATATCTTAGCTCTTGACATTGTAGTTTCACAAAATAAGACTGAAATGTGTTTTCTCATACAAGGCTCTTTCAACTTAGTTACCCTAGGGACAGGACCAATATTGACACAAGGGGCATGATTAATTTCAGTTTTGTAGCAATCAACAAGGTAATGCTATATGTCAAATATATAAACTCCAGGCATTGTAGCTTCACAAAAAAGTTCATATTGTCATATTGACCCAAGGAGCATGGTTGATACCAGTAATTTTGTGGTCCACAGAGAGATGTTGCATGCCAAATATCTTCGCTACTGTATTAGTCTATATAAAGTGACTCCTGGTGTGGGACCCAAGGGGCATGATTTATACCAGTTTTGTAAAGGTCAATAAGACAATACTTCATGCTAACTACCTGAGTTCTAGTCATTGTAGTTTCACACAAAAAACTTAAATGTGTTTTCCTATATAAGTCTATATAAATCAAGTGATCCCCGGAGCGGGGGCAATTTTGATCTCAGGAAGCCCAAACAAACTTATGTTCTGCACGTCATCTCGTTATGAGTAATATGTCTCCCAAGAATATTTAATTTCTTTCTGTTGGTTCAAAAGATACACCAAATTTTAAATTTATACAAAATTATTCAGTGTAACCCTGACCTTGATCCGAGGAATGTCAAACCAGCTCTCTGAACATTGTCTCGTAACAATTCTGCCAAGAAGTTTCAACTTCCTTCCGGTTCATAAGAAACAGACCGGACTAGAAAACTCGAAACGGACGACCAGGTGCATAATATTATAAACCGAAAGTCTTTGGGCATATAAATAGGGATAATAATGCTTGACCTGTAACAAGGTTTGATTTATGTCCATTTAATCAAAAATATAGGACGCTATTTGTAAGTGTGTGTATTGAATGCGTGCATTCATGCATGTATACATAGATGTGTATGTCAATACAGAAGCTGATGTCAATTTATTATATTTTTATATAATTTAAATTATAGCCATGTTTATGCCTACAAAAATATTTTTTTAATTCATATAATCATAAACAGTTATTTTGAGATATTGTCTAAATTAACTTCCGTGTTCCGGATATTCATTACAGCAGCGAACTGTAAGCATACGACAGAAAACAGAGGACTTATACTAGGATATTATCAACAATGTACTTTTTAAAGTCAGTTTTAAGGCCTATTCAGATTTATTGACATGTGAAGCCGCGGTCTGTTGAGATATTGTTTTGCTGAATAATGGTCTAGAGAACTTTAAATATCTGTAAATTATAAAACAGGGATAAACAATATCGTTAAACAAAATGGCGGAAAAGTTGAGTATGTTACAAGAGGACGATGATGTTCCAAATCGTACCCAGAAAAAATTGTGTCAGTCGTGTTTAAATAAGGATAATAAGACTGTAGCTGATACGTTTTGTTCAACTTGCAACGAGTTCCAGTGTACCGATTGTTCGAATGTACACAACGTACTTTCTGTCCTTAGAACTCACAAATTAGTGAATGCAAATGAAGCTGTAACGAAACAAGACTCGTTTGATATGAAAGGATTAGACCGATGTAATCAACATAAAAAGATTATAAAATTCTTTTGCGAAGAAGAAAATCAGCTATGTTGTAGTACCTGCGCTATAGTTGACCATCGTAAATGTGACAGTGTTGTAGAAGTTCAGAAGCTTGCTGGAAAATTGATGTCTCCAAATTCATTGGTAAAAGAAAAATTGCTGGCTTCAAAAGGAATGGCTGAGGGCATCATCAAACAAATCATGTCTTCAAAAACAAAATTAGATGAAGACGTGAATAAAATTCCAGAAACAATTAACCAAGTGCGAGATGAAGTAATTCGAATGTTTGTCGATTTGGACGTTTCAATCGCTAAAAGAGCGAAATCTTTTCAAGAAGAAACACTTGCAAAACGTACAATAAAACAGTCGCAAACAGAGAGCTACTTATCTGGTGTAACAACTTGTTTGGAAACAATTGATAGCGTTTATAGAAATGGAAGTTTAGCGCAACAATTAATTGTAGAAAAGAAAATGGACAATGATGCCACTACTCTATACAGAAACGTGAATGAGGTATTTAAAGGCTTAGAGACGGTCAGCATGTCTTTCCATTTTGACAAAACATTAAAGTTGCCACCATTTCCAATTTCTGAAAACGTTCCGGGACAGCTGGCATTAAAACATCATTTCGTTTACATCATTA